TTATTATTATTATTATTCATCTATTAAAATGCAAGAGTTGTATATTTAAATCAATTTTTAGATAATAAATTTTTGTAGTTACGTTTAGTTTAATTATGTTATTGATTGAAATACTTCTTCATTTAATTTATACAAAAATTAGCATATTCATGAATTTTTTATAATTTAATTATATAATTTTTTAAATTGTTGTAGGTTAGTTACTAATGTCAAATAGAAGGGAATGGATGGGAAAACGTTTGATGGAAAATGGTTGGATAAATCCCGAATTTTTAAATGGTGTTCAAGATTTTATGAAAGTTGCATTTGCCAATAATGAAGATATGGTAAAATGTCCCTGTAAGAAATGTGGATTAAGATATTTTTGGGGTTCTATTAAAATTGATAAGCATTTGCGAAAGAATGGATTCATGAAGGATTATGAGGTTTGGTATTGTCATGGTGAGAAGTTGGGAACATCTTCTGATTTTTTCAAAGGGGAGACATCAAACTCTCAAAGATATGAACCTGAAAAGGAGTCACCAAATATATTTGAGTCAAATTTCGAGCAAATGATTTTTGAACATGTTGGGCCAGTGTATAATCATAATTATGCTTTAGAATGTGATGAAGACAATCAACCTAATTTTGATGATGAGGATGATTATAATGAAGGGAATAATGAGAACAACGAGGTTGAATGTAACGGGAATCAAGACTTTTCTGCAGAACAATATTATAAAATGATTGTTAATTCATCAACATCAACTTGTTACCCCCCTAACTCCCCCGGTAAACTCTCCACCCCGCCCCGACCCGAACGCACCCTCCACCTCCTTCAATTGCACCCCACAAGTTGATTTTGACTTTCGAGTCAAATTTTGACTCTAAAGTCAAAATCAACTTGTGGGGTGCAATTGAAGAGGGTGGGGGGTGCGTTCGGGTCGGGGCGGGGTGGGGGGTTTACCGGGGGGTTAAGGAGGGTAGGAACCGTCAATTTTACGAACGGGGCACCGGAGTGCCGCCGGGTCATCCCATGACATTGGTTCCCAATGTCATGGGAACCAAGTGTAAATATATATGCTACACTCACTTCCACTGTGTTTCTTTGGAAAATAGCATTATGTTTTAGCATACTCCAACCAAAGTAATCATACAACTCCTACTCAAAAAAAAAAAAATCTTACAACTCAAATTTTTGGAATGAGTACGTCATCATCGGCTACAAGTGAAGAAAAAGTGGTTTACTACGACTCTTGAACTGAGACAACCTTCTTCCCAATGTTCTTACCATTAAAGATACTAACCAGTGCAGATGGTGCATTATCCAAACCATTAGAAATGTCTTCTATGTACACCAACTTCTTCTCCTTCAACTTTTCAAGCACCCACTTTGTGTACGTTGGAACCAGATGCCAATTGTCAATTTCCGTGAATCCTTCAACCCTCAAGCACTTTGTGATTACCCGAAACAAGTTGCGAATGCCGTCGGGTTCCTTTAGAGAATATTGAGATATCATTCCACAAATGCCGATTCTGCCGTGCAGATTCATGTGCCCGATTACCTCGTCTAACATCGGGCCACCCACGTTGTCGAAGTACACGTCAATTCCCTTTGGGCAACACCTGCATGCATATATA